GCAAGCGAGTTATCAAGCAAGTGGGTTGTTGAGAGAGCGAGTTGTTAGAGAGAGAGAGAATAGGAGAGAAAATTTTTTTCCTACCTCTATTTCGGCTGCCGTCTTGGCGTTTTGTTTTGGCCGAGTGATAGTCTGTGACGGCGGACCTTATCCCCCATAACAGTGATCGTTGAATTACTACTCCGGACAGTTATCATTTTTATTAATAAGTACTTATGCTTCAGCCCAACCTCAACCCCCCACATATTTGAGTTCTGAACGTCCATTCGGAAAGGCTCGATTAAGAAGGAAAGTAAAACGTCGCCAAAAATTTCCGCACCCACGAACCGCCGGACCTACGGCTAAGCATTCCCGTTCCTAAGATGCGGGGACTAATAGTTGGTTTGCTTCCAATGTATCAAAATACTGATAACTGGAGATTTCGCGTCTCGCGAGTTTTCCATTGACCCAGGGAAAACTGCTGTATAATATTAATCTACAGTCGCACATCGCTGTCCCGGATGGCCAAAATTCGGCCAAAATACAAAGAATCTGTCCGGGGCAGCGTGTTATCGGGGGGGCGGCAGGTTAGGTTTTGGCACAAAGAAGTTTAGAATTCGGGGCCATTTCATCCCGAACAAGGGGGTGCGATTTTATTAGTCTCTACACTAGTATGATACTGCACTATGCCTTGAGGAACAGGCGAGGAGATTTCACGAATAGGATTTTTGGTGCCCGAAGCTCCAGCCGGCTAAAAAAAGGAAATAACTGGAGAAGAAGAAAAAAAGTATTCATAATAGAAGCAACCATTGAATAAGCATTTTTAGCCTGGCACCGCTGATCCATCATACAGCTATCATCCTTACACCCAGCAAGCTTTATGGAATAGTGTATAGCGAGTAACTGCGTAAGGCATGGTAAGTTGCGAAGGCGGAGACCCAGTCGTCTGCCGTGAGTAAGCTCACACCAATCACCAGGTGGACTGTACTACGTGGCACCCATGGGCGGCCACCAACCCACTATCGAATCGTAATTTGGAGCTTGTTTACAAGCTACGCAGTGGTCCAACGTCATATACGGTATCAGAGCTATGTGAAGAGAAGGGGAGGCATTAAATACGTCATCTTACGGAGCTGCTAGCTGCCCATACAAAGTCAGTACAGATAACTCGCATAGGTGCTTTCGCTATGAGTATTGAAATACCAGAAAGTCCAGATGATGACTAAACTTCCCCTACCAGCCCCCCAAAGCATCCAAACAGATCCGGCATCTGCTGGGCTAACCCGTGTTCTTCGTTGGGTTGAGTCGTCTTCCCTGGGTTCCGTCACGAACCTCTCTACCTCGGGCCGGCCCGGGCTACCCAACAAACTTTACAAATTGGGCGCCTAATTTTGCGCCTTGCGGGATGTCTACCGGCAAGAAGCAGGATCATCGCTGTCAGGATGGGAGTAGGAGCCCAAGCCTGGGAAATGCGAAACCCTGTTTACGAGTAGCGGTAAGTTGCCTGAAGATTTTAGAAATTGGGATATCCTAGGAGAGACACCAAGGCCCTGTTGGGCATGCTAATTTTTTATCCGGCAAAATATTAACTTATAAAATATCGCCTGTAAGGTTTATAGTGTTTGGCGGCGTATCGACCGACAAGTAGATTTTGCCTTAAAAGATGCAACTTGAAAACGCAGCATTCCAGGATCCAAGGAACTGTTGGATTCATTTTATCATATCATAATTGCGAAGAATATAGGGCAAACCGGTATGCCGGTAGATCCACTTCAATTCAGGAGTAATTGCGAGTGATAGCGTGTGATGGGGTTAGCCAGCAGCGTTGTATGCTTTGCGGAGTCTTGGTTGAAAGACGGGCGGGGGGAACGAACCGACGGAAGAACGCGTAACGGAGGTCGACGGTAAGAATATTGTAACCCCATTACAAAATTTCTCGCGCGAGGTGCAATGCCTCCGCTATTCCCCTGGTCCGGGAACTTATTATTCTGCCGCCTCCGCCGCCAAGCCACTCTCCGAGAATTCGCTCTCCTACAGTACGCGTTCTTGCGAGGAGATCACGGTCCGAAAATTCAAACCTCCACGACATCCAAATCCGCTCCTTTTAGTCTCCGTCCGCAGCTTCATATATAACAAAGCGAGCTTCCAGAACTTTGCTACCTACTTGACTTGTTATTCATTCCAGAAGACTTGGACTAGGGGGTTCACACAGAAGTGGACCCAAAGCTCTCGACCGGGCACAAAGTTTCCGTCGCCGCGGAACGGTTTTCGGGACGGTTCACGCAATTTGTGGATCTGGGCAGGCACATGATGTATCCTGAGCACCAAATGGCCGGGATCTTGGTGGTGGAGGCGGTGTTGTCGGTTGAGAGATGAGGGTGCGGATTTAGGGATAGGATTTTAGCGGTTGTCAGGTTTGACCCACCGTTATTGGGGTTATATCTGCTGGGTTGGGGAGCTGTTCAGGCTGGAGATGAGGAGCTCTTCCAAGGAAGGAGGGTGGGGGGTGGATGATTCGGGTATGGCTTCGTTGTTTGTGGTATGATATGACTAGTATC